AGATCAAATGCTGTTTCCTTGGCTTTTAGTACATATGACTAGTCCAAAATCTGCACTCAGGGTTGACCCCCTGCTGATGGGGACAGACAATGAGGGCAGGGTTCAGGGAAGTGTGGAATTCTCCTGATGGAGTTAGGAATGGGGGGCGTGACAGTGGACAGTGGTGGGGTGGGACATAGATGAGATCTCCCTCTGTAGGGTGACAGCCAGTAGCAAAAGAAGTCAGAGCTTTTGCTACAAAGTTTAAAAACTTAGTTTGGCCTCCAGGTGTCCATCACATCTTTGCCTAATTATCCCCCAACTCAGCTCACCCAGCGCCCCCGACTCCCACCCCTGCCCACTGCCTTGAACTACTCTCAGCCCTAGAAAGGATGTGTCCAATCTCATCGTTTCACGTCTCTGTCCTCCTCATTTGCACATGCTGCCCGCCCCCCCCCGGGAAGTCCCCTTTCTCTCCTTCTCTACCTTGTAATTCCTATTGATCCCTCCAGACGCAGCTCAGATGTCACCTCCTCCAAGAAGCCTTCAGAGGTCCCCAGTCTGAACTGGGTACTCCTCTGAGCCCACGCAGCACCTCTGCCCTCCTGGCCTCTGTTGATGTATCTCTTTCCTCAACAATACTGCAAAATCACGGAGGACACATACCACGCCTTATCTAATTTTACATCCCCAGCAGCTAGTTTAGAGCTTGACATATAGTTGACACTCAGTATACACTGGGTGATGGAATGAAATGAACCAGGAAATGAGCCTATCCCCACTCAGGTGAGTGGTCATGATAATAGATGATAATTATATTGATCATAATTAATAACTGCTACCACGAGATACAAAGACGGTCGATCTCTTTATTCAAATTATAACGATAGCTCTTGAATACTGAGCACCTATGCTGTCCAGGCAGGGGCCGGTCACTGCATACACGTCATCTTCTTCCCAGCTCTCAGGGGCTCAGAGAGCGAAGCACCTGCCCGAGGCACGTGGCTAGAAAGAGGCAGAACCAAAGCCTTAAACTGAGGTCCGCCTGACGCTTCCCCTGACTCGTGCCCCCTCCCAGAGAGCGTCACTGCTCCTTATTTTTGGACCTGACTGGCCTCTGTTCGTGCCTGTCCCCAGACCCTCAGTCCCTCTTCCGAAGCCCCATACCCAGATAGACTGGCCTCACGGTTCTGCATCCTGCCCAGTGGGAAGGCTGCTCTCCTCCGCCCCCAGGAAAACCCAGAGTGGCCAGTGTGCAGAGCCCAAGGTCCATGGCTGATGCCAGGGAAACCAAGCGGGCATTCAGGAGCGGAGCTGCTTTGTCTGACGGCTGAGTGATTAACCCTCGCACAGGAGCTGCAAACAAACACATCCTGAACGGCCTGCAGACTACAATCCGACTCCCACCCCTGCCCAACACTGTGCTCTCTCTCCCCTGCCGGGTTTATTTCTAGACCTTGAGACCAACCGGATGGAATGAGACTTGGGGCACATCTCCCCACTGGTCGCCCTGGAAGCCCACTCCTCACCTGTGGCACTCGGGGCTTGGAAACTTCAGGTGTCTGGGGAGCGCTTGGCGTCCTGCGCCGCACTCTCCCTTTCTGTCCCCCAAAGGAATAAATGCCCCCAAACTGCCTGGGCATTTCCTCATTAGAAATGCACTCCACTGGTGCTCCCTGGAGAAATTAATCCAGGAGTCTTGGAGGACGACAAGGAGTCTTCGGGTTACCTGGGGATGGTCTTCATTCCCCAGATCTTTCCTTAGCACTTACTATACATCGGGCTCTGTGTTGGGGGCCGGAGATGGCAGGGAAATCAGATCTGATTCCCACTCAAGTCCAGAGGGGGAGACACACAGACCAGGAGGTGTGGTGACATGCATACGTGTGAGGATTGACCCCTAAACGGAAGGTAGGGGCAAAAAGAGGGAGGCCTCAGTTGTTTGGTGATGAGGGGAAGCGGTGGGCAGTCAGGAAAGGCTCCGAAGCAGCAGGAACCCCAGGGCTGGATGATGGAGGATGACGAGCTATCCCCAGGCAGACAAAGCAGCGGGGTGGGTGGGGTGCACTTAGGGTAGCAGAGGAAGGCAGAGAGAGGCCTGAGGAGCGGGGGTCCAGCTGCTGTCAGCCGTTTGCCAGAGCTTCATATCTGGTGCCAGAGAGGGCGTGGCCAGAGGGCGGGCTCAGGTATAAGGCCTGAGGAACTTGGACCTCATCCCCAGGACAGGTGAGTCACTGAAGAGTTTTAAGAAATGGGGTGCTATGCTTTGAGTGGACCTTTAGAAAGACTGCTCTGCCTATAGTGCCGAGGGTGGATGCAGAGGGCGGGGAACACTGAGCTGGAGGCCAAAGACCAGTTAGGAGGCTGGTGCCATTTTTCTAGGGACCCAGCACAGTCCGAAGAGCTCCCTCCTCTCTATATGTATGTAATCACACACACACACCCCTATCTACAAATACAGGCACAGCGGATGTGGTGTATATACTATTGTTATCTCTACTAGATGGAGTAGGAAACTAAAGAACAGAGAGATTAAGTCACTTGCCCAAGGGCACACAGAAAGTGGCTCAGGACTTGAGCCATCAGTTCAGCTTGAGCGTTCATGCTCTTAACCACTACACTATAGTATCACTCCATCAAAGATGACCAAGGATTGGGACAGGGTAGCATTGTTAACGGAGAGTATTCCTGATGGGCCCACTCTATATTAGGGGCTCCTCCGAAATAGCTTTTGGCTTCCATGGATAGAGGGGGGTGCAGCCTTTAATCCTGAGGCCCCTGGGAAAAAACTACAGCGTGAAATGTGAAGGAGCTGGAAACTCCCAGGACAGGGCCATGATATGAAGCCACTAGGGGTCACTTGAGTCCCCAGGAACACATGCCTTTGGGGAATGGAGGTAATACTTTTGCTTCGGTGGGTGTGGGCCTGCAAATTCTTCAGACACAGGAAGGCAGGGTACAGGGCGGTCAGGAAGGCTGTGCCCCAGTGAGAAGAACCCTGCTTTCGTCAACTCACAGCCATTCCTTCCAGGGAGGCTGAGGTCAGGTGACTCCTGCAGGCGCTATGTGCTCTGTAGGCCCCGTAACATGTGGCCAAGGCTACGACGCCCTGGGGCAGCCCCACTTTCCACTCTCCCAGCCACGCTCCCAGAAGGGATAGGATTTGGAGGTGGCTGAGGGCTACAGGCCTACGCAGGGGTCCTCTGATAGAAGAGAGGTCCAGGATCAGAGAGGAAGGTTCCGCGTGGCTTGTGTGTGATGCGTTTGGTGGCGTGCAAAGCTGGACGTTGAGCTTGCCGGCTCTGCGCTTTGGACAGCATTTTAGCGCCTCATATCCCTCATCTTTAAAATGGGAATAAAATTCTGCCAAAGCAGGGCTGTGGCGAGTGTCAAAAGTGAATCCTGGCTGTTGGCCCACGATCCGCACTTTGTAAAGCCATCGTCAGATGTGCAGAATTTTCCAACTTTTGGAGTTGGAGCTGCTGGTACTTGAACGTAACACTGAACTTCAGTCCAACTCTAGGGGCTGCTAGTTAGTGGTCAGCCAAAGAACAATAAACAATAAGGGATTGCAAACTTCACTCCTTCACCTTTGTGGCTGGAACTCAGAATTGTGTTTGAAGTCTGGGCGAAGTCACTCAGAAGCATATGTTAACAGCACCTCCTGCTTGCTAAGGTGGGGAAACCACAAGGTAGGTATTCTTTAAAAGCCGGCTGAAAAGCTCAGGAAACAAGGGATATTTGGGGAGTGGATAATTCACAGCTACTGTACATACAGGCTTAAAGCAAAGCAAGGAGGGCAAGACTGAAGCCAGGGTCACCATCCTAGATGAGGACTAGCCCAATCAGCCAATCAGAGGCCTGGCCTGACGGGCATCTGTGCCAACACCTGTTGGAACCAGAGCATCTATCTACCATCTCAGAAAAAGCATCGTCGTAGATGAGATTGTCAGGAATGCTGCCTAACGCTGGTAACATCGCCATCAGAGCATTTCAAATAAACACACACACCAACATTCCCTGCACTAGTGGAAAAGCCCAACCCTCCCCCCAAGGGGCATTTACACACGAATGGCTGGACAGGCTCGAGCCACGCTGCGGCCTGGCACCAGAACTCCTCCTAGGCAGACCACACAAAGCGGAAACCTTCTGTCCGACAGCTGCGTTATCCAGACCCCAGCATGGGGGAACCGACACAGAAAATGGTTCACAAACCCCGAGCACAACTTCTCTTGGCCCCGGAGGTTCACATCATATCTCTGCTGTGCTGCTTTCCCCACTGCAGGGCGTTGGTTCCCCGAGACCGGAAGACCCATACTCACACCTTGGGGGGTCAAGGGCCCCAACGGTGCCCGCCACAGCTCCATTCCCGGGTAGCTTAAGACACAAGCGCTTTCAAAAAGTAGCACAAGGGGCTGCTGCCTCTCCCACCAAACCAGCTACTGCTTCAGCGATGGTTGGTATTCTGGGAGTTTCCTCCAAAGTCCCCCTAGACTGGAAGTGTCTTGGAACTCTCAAGCCATAAGCTGCTTAGGGTCCCAAGCTTGCTTAGGGCCTCTACCCGATTCTCGCAGTGGCCCATTTTTTGAAGAGCTTCCTATTGGTTTTCCCAAAGACAACAAGCCCACACTTAAGACATGCTTCTCTCTCTTCCCATCCCTTCATCCCAGACACAGGGTAGCTACCTGGAGCCCTGTGGACCTGGGGGGGGTGAGATGGGGGAGAAGGGGGCCTGGTATTCCCGGAGGGGACCATAACAAGCAAAGCGGAGGGGCTTGGGAGCTGACAGTGCAAGGAGAGAGGCCGGGACAGGGGAGCCCAGCGACTCCTCCTGCAGTGGTGTCCAAGTCCCCACAACCTGGAGAAGACGCGGGGTACCTAAGAGTGGGTTCAGCCTCGGCCTCGTGGGCTGGTGTCACCGCCAGGGGCCTGGGGTCCAGCCCCGGGCGGCGGGGAGTGCCGGCCGGCGGCCTTATGACTCGGGAGATTAGGGGAGCGGGTCCGCGCGGAGGGCAACTCACGGAGGAGAAGTTGTGCGGGCCGCAGAGCTCGCCGCGGTACTTGCAGGAGAGCAGCATGTCTTCGAGCTGGTGGCCCAGGCGGTCCATGAAGGCGGCGCTGATGCCCTCGAAGTGGCGCGGCGGCAGGAAGAGGCGGAAGTCGGCCAGTTTGCGGAACCACTGGCGGCGCGGCTCGTCCCCCCTCAGCAGCTCGCTGACCAGCGGGCGCGCCGTGCGGTTGGGCAGCAGCAGCCCGAGCCAGTGGCCGGCGTAGTAGAGGTCCCCCTTGGAAAGGCGCGGGAAGCGCAGCGGGTTGTTGTTGCACACGGTGACCGCGGGGAAGGGCAGCTGGCGGCTCCACTCGCGGTGCACCCGCGTGTGCGACGGGAAGCTGAGCCAGTAGAGCAGGCGGTTCGAGGACCAGGACAGCAGCAAGCCGAGGGACGTGCAGAAGGCCAGCACCCACAGCGCCCGCCGCTGGAAGGAGCCCCCCGCCGCCGCACGCCCCGCGCACATGTGCCGCAGCCCGTGCAGTTTAGCGCGGCTCAGCGACGGCCGCCCCCTGCGGGCGACCCCCGGCCCCTGCAGCGCCTGCTCGCGCTCGCGCTCGCCGCCCCGGGGCCGCCCGGCTGCCGCCACCGCCGCCGGCGCCGGCTCCTCGCGGGCCATACGGAAGCGTCCCGGGCCGGTGAGCGCGGCCCCGGGCCGCCCGGCTCCGCCACTCCGGCTCATTCATTCAGCCCGCGGCTGGCGGCAGCGGCGGCGGCCCCGGCCGGGCGGAGCCGCCATGGGAGTCCGCAGCAGCAGTGGAAGCAGCAGCGGCAGCCGCTGCGCGCAGCCCGCGCCAGGGAAGCGTGCGCCCGAAAGGAGCTCCGGTGGCGCGGCATGCCCGCCCGGCGCCGCCACCGCCGCCTCCGCGGGCGCCCGCCCGGGACCGAGGCCGCCTCGGCCCGCCGCCCCTGGCACGGGCCTCCCCGAGCGCCTCCCAGGCTCTCCTGGCCCCGAGTCCTCCTGGCGGACGCCCGACGCCGGCCACTACCTCTGGAGGGGCCCCGCTGGGCGCCGCCTCTCCGGTCCCTGGGCGCTGCGCCCGCCTCCCCTCGTCTTGGATCTCGGGAGACCCTGAGCTGAGTCCCCCCGGCTCCGCCTAACCCCAGCTTTTATGCTGGTCCCCGGAGAGCAGCCACTCGGCCACCAGTGCCTGATTCGGACACCCCCAAGGACCCCACCAGCCCGGCCGGTGGCCCGCGGTGCTGGGACACGGGGGAGAAGGCGCCGGGGGACGAGCGCCCCCAGAGGCGCGCGGCGGCTCCTGGCTTGGCGGGTGGGGTGGGTGTGTACAGGGGTGAGCGGTCACCCAGCTGGCTGCTGCCCTCTTTCCCTTTCCTCCGGGACCCTTGTCACTGCTCCTCGGGCTGCGCTCGGCTGAGACCTGCTAAGCCTCCCCCAAGTCCAGAGCCCGCGCCTCGCCTGGGGCTGGGGGCGTCTCAGGGTCCTGCCAGAGGCTGCTGGCCGCTGGGCTCCTTCAAGGGTGCTGGCCAGAGGAAAGTGTCGCTTCTCCCGCGGCTCTCCGAAGTGCCTCGAGTCTCCAGAAAAGCCCGGTCTCGCCGTCCCTTGCCTCTTCTTTTTCCTGTCCCGGTGCTCCAGGAGCTGGGGACCGAGGAGCCCCGGCTACACCTCTCGGGGGTGACCCGGGCTCGCTGCTCCGCGCGCCCGGCTCGTCTCGAGACTCCCAGCCTCGCGGCGGCGGCGGAGCTCCTCTCGCGGCTGCCCGGCCCTCCTCGGGCCCCGGGCGAACTTGGGCAGTGGCCGCGCGACGCCGGCGCGGCTAGGCTTCCAGCACCTGCTCCTCAGCTCGCCGGCCCCCCGGCTCCGGGCGGGCGGGGCGGCGGCGGCGGCGGGCGCCGTGCGCTCCCGGAGACGCGGTGCTGACGCGCGCGGCCCCTCCTGGCTGCATTTTACTTCCTGGCCACTGTGGCCGCTGCACACCGAGCGGGAAGCGTTTTGCCGGAGCCGGCGGCGGGGGGGGGGCGGGGATGAGCTGCACAGAAGTGCCGCGCTGGCGGGAGAGATGTGGAGTAGAAACGCTGCGTTTATGTGGGAGGCGTGTGCATGAGTGTGAGGACACTTCGGGCTGTGCGGGCTGGACTGTCGACAACCTAAGCCGCTGTCTAGTGTGGGCATTTTTGCAAGTGTGTGAGTGGGGCGTCATGCACTGAGTGTGGGTGGGATGTGCGTGTGTACGTGTGAACGGGCATTTCTGTGTATCTGGTGAATGTGAGCCTATGCGCAGAGCTGTGGCTCTCTGAATGTGTGTGGTGTGTGTAGGACAGAGTGTTGGCTTGTATGCTCTACGTGTGTGTAAGTGTGCATGTAGGCGGTGGGAGGCGTGAACGGGCTGTTGACGTGTGGGTGGATATCGGGGTTTCTGGATGTGGCGTGTGGTTGGTGTGTTTTGCGTGTGTGTGCTGTGTAAATGAGTATGTGTGTTGAGGTGCTGGGTCTCTGGCAGGTTGGGCTCAGTGGGGCAGCCCTGCCCCCTGCCTGTTATGAACTTCCGGTGTCCTCCAAACACTTCCCTGGTTGGGTCCGCTGCTCATCCCTGGCGCAGTCCGCCAAGTGCAGCCTTCCTGGGTGGGCGGCAGGAAGGAGGATGACTTCCATGGACAGGAGACTCCATCTCTGCCATTCTCATGGCGGGGTTCCTACAGCTGGTTGATGTCACCCTTCCCTCCTGGACAGGCTCAGGGTCTTCCACTAAGCCCTGGGCACTTTTGGACACTTTCATTTAGCTTTCTAAAATATTCTGCCTTGACGTGTTTGGGAGGATGGGTGAAGCATGCAGTGTACTGCTAACTCCATTTCACACTAGACTCGGGAGGCCAAGTACTTGCCCAAGATCAAACTGCCCCTAAGTGGTGGATCAGAATTCTACACCCAGGTCCCCGAAGCCCTGGTTCTTTCGACTGCACCACGGGGCCTTGCAGTTTGCACTCTCTGGGCCAGGCGCCTTGAGGCCAGGGCTGGAGTCTTACTCCTTGCCTGCCCGGCGTGGTGTAGGGTAGGTCTCTTCCCGTATTTCCCAGATAATTGACTCACTGAGGCCTCACTGGATGGGTAACACTTCCAGCATTATTACTCCCCGGGATAGAGGAGTTTCGTAGACGTTTTCCAGAGAGTAGATTGTGATGGTGGCGGTGAGGGGAGAGACAATGTGAAGGGATCCTGAGGGTGGGAGGGCACCCCGGTGAAGCTGGGAGATTTGGGGTTTGGAAGATTTGAATTTGGGCCTGGAGAGACATTTCACCCATTTTGTGATGATTTATTAGAGGTGGTCCAGGTAAGTCTGTTGAATGAGCATCAGGTGTCTGAGCGGTGCGTGGGCTTTCCCTCCTCACTGACCTGGAGGGCATATGTCAGCATGGCAGCCCCTGCATCTGGTCTCTGGAGACTGGGATATCTGAGCCCTGCCCCCCACTCCTGGAGGCTTTTCTCATTCACCTGGGGAAGAAGCTATAGAAGTTGGGCTTTGCTAAAATTCTGCTTTGGATTCAGTTCCTTGAAGATATCTGTTGCTAGCTTTGGGGGGAAGGTTCTGAATCTGCCAGTTTTATGGGGTCTCTAACAAAGGCTCACTCACTGGTGCTTCAACCTGGTCCCAGCAGTCCTGGGCTGGTGGGGGGGGGAGGGGAGGGGTGCCACATATCCAGACCAAGGTGGGGCGACCTTGTGAGCTCAGTGAAATTACTGATGAAGCAGCCAGGGTAAGCATGCGACGTCTTCCAGCCTCATAGCCCTGGGGTGGCACGAAACTCTGTCTTGTAGAAACCTTTAAGACCTTTTGTGTTTCTGATTTGTTCAGCTGTTGTGGGCTTTTTCTTTTCCTGGCATTTTCCCCCTTGAAATGTACACATGCTGCTTTTGGTTTCCCGAGTGTCATCTCTGCCATGGTTTTTACTGTTAATTCTCCAAATGGGTCACTTTTTCAGAGAGAGGAAGGGTATCCTGCATGGGCTTCAGGGGTCTTGGCACAGAAATCCAGAGACAGACACAGGGATGCCTAGTGATCCCAAGTGATCGATAGCTTTCTTTTTGGCACATGTGTGCAGTGCATTTCCTACACTGCCTGAAATCCCCCCCACCCCTTTCTCGACCAGTACTTTGACCAGCTCTGTGAAGTTCTGCTCTTTCCTCAAACCCCAACTGAAGCATTGCCTCCTAGGTAACTGGATTGATACCTCCATCATAGCCTTTGTATAGCACCTTGTCACTGTGTGTATCTAGGCTCTTCTTCTGGACGTGAGCCCTTTGAGGACAGGGACCACATCTCATTCACACTGTTGTCTCTATCTCTCAGCACAGTGCCCTGGCACCTAGATGAAACACAGCAAAATGGGGAAGAGGAGAAAGGAACTAAGATCTCTTGACTATTTCTGTATGCCAGGCAACTGTACCAGACACATAAACATATTTAATTTCTTATTCCAACCTTGCAGGGGGGTATTTTTGCCCTCTTTTTACAATTATTGAACCAAGGGCATGGAGAGCAGGAATTGAACTCAGCAATAACTCATTCCAAAGTCCAAGATTTTCCTTCTCCATCATGCTTCTTTGAAAAGTATTATGATAAATAATAACAATAATAATATAATAAATGTAGGACTTCCTAATCACTAGGACTTGTTCTAAGTGACTTACATTAAAAACAAGTGTCATAAGCATTCTAAGTGTTTAATCCTCAAAATAATCCTACTAGGCAAATACTGTTATTTTCTCTATTTCGAAGAGGAGGAAGCCTTACCACAGAGAGGTTGAGTTACTCACCCTAAGCCACACAGCTTAAGCAGGAGAGCAGCCTTTCAATGCAGGTAGTCTGGCTCCATCCCCTGTGCTCTCAAACCCTACCCCATACCACCTCTGCCCTCAGAGCTGCACTGACACAACAGCTCACGTGAATTAGCTTTCCCATCCTCGCAGGCTCACTTGGCCAGAAAAACAAACTCACGAGGCAGTGCCTGAGTTGCCCCACGTGACCTATCCACCAAGAAGCATGAATTTAGCATTGTGATTTCCCAATAATAAGCTTTTAAGAAAATTTCCCTTTTCCTGTTTATCTCTAAAACATCTGTCGCTCCACACCTGGAATCCTGGCCTCCTGTGTGATGTTTGGGCGCCAGCCAGCCCACATTCTGGTGGGTGACCACCACCGCCAAATATAAGCTCTTTCTCCCATTAAACGAGTTTGTTGGGCAGGAAGGTCCAATTAGGTCAGTGTGATTTTCTGTTTTTATAATCCAGTCGTAGGAGCTAATACTCGTTGGCTTGATCGGGCTTCACTGGGTCCCCTGATATTCCTGCTTACCCCCAATCCCTACTGCTCAGGGGCTTGGTGTTTAGAAAGTATCAGAGGTACTGCTTAACCCTGCTCTTTGGAATCGCTGCTACACACCCGAACAGCGACAGTCCACCGGTAACTGATTCTATCCCCAACATCTGGCAGTGTTGAAAGCTTCCTTTCATCAAACTGGAATCAGTCTCTTTGCAAATGTCTCCTAATTTATCCCCGGGGAGCCACACAAAATAAGTTTGATCTTTCTTTCGCGTGGGAACCCTTTAAATACTTTATAGAATCAAAGTATGTCAGTGGTGAAAGGGGCTCTAGTAGTCTGCCTTCTAGCAAAATCTTCAAGAAAGTCTTTCTTCTCCAGATTAAACACCATCAGTTCCTTCACTTGTTTCTCCTGTACTTGGGATGGGATCGCGGATGTCGATATCTTTAAAATGGTCCCATACCCATTGGTATGAACCCACCAAGCCCTTTACTCTGGACCTGGTCCATCCAGGCCCTGATCTTACTTTTGACGGTCATGGGATCTTGTCTGCCACCCTCCTCCACCCCTGGGATGTAGTGTATGTGGTGGGTGTGGAGGGGGCAGAGGGGGCAGTCACAATGGGCTCTTGGTGTCTTTGCTTAGAATGCCGGGCCCACTTCCTTTTAGCACTCATGGTGATGAGTCAACACTACTTCTAGTCTCAGAGTTCCTTGCTCTTAGGGGGCAGATGTGCTTTTGTGGGTCTGTCTGAATGTAAAGAGCTCGCTTTTTCTCTTTCTTTCTCTGTCTTTCTTCTTCTGTCTCTGTACTGCCCTGGGCTCTCTGTCACTCTGCTTCCCTCTCTCCCCCTCTTCTCTTTTCTCCTTCTCTTCTTTTCCTCCCTTTCTCCTCTCCCCAACCTCTGCCTGAAGCCTAGCAGTCCCCTCTGCTACCTTCTTAGCCTGTGCTACTGGTGGCCTCCGGGTGCATAGAGGTGGCTGCATTGTCACAGGACCTCAGCCAATGTCCAGTAGTCATGATGGGAGCTCCTGCACTGGTGGAAAGGGCAAGGAGGACTTCACCAGGGTTTTGGTCACTGCATACCTCCTTTCCCATCCATCCCAGCCTCCCTCCGTGGGGCTGGCGCTGGAGTTGCCATTCCATCTTACCTTTTCACGTGCTTCAGCATTCCACTGCTTCTCCCGCTTCTTCCATGGCTTTCTTATATTATACTTGGCCCCTCTTCGTTCTTTCTTCTTCTGGGCT